ACAATTTTTTTATTTCAAAATGTATTTAAATTTAAATTTAATTTATATACTTAATTAGGACAGTTAAGTTATTGAGCATTCACATCTTTTTTCCAGGTACCTATAGGGACGTATAATATTATTTCTCAGTAAGCTTAAGATTCGTTTCATTAAACTGTTAAACTATCAACACATTTTTTTTTATAGCATTAAAATCCATTTTAGTGGGGTTTTTTTTCAATGTGCAATTTAAATTTATATGTTTTTAACAATTTTCGTAGCACTCGGTGTTTCTCTCTTTTATTTAAGTAATTTCTAGAAATTGTAGTCTGAGTACACCGGAAATTCAAGTTTTATTTGTGTGCGCGCGGGGGAGGGGGGGGGGTAATAAGCACAATTGAGCATATTACGATTTATTTTTTGCAATACGATTGACGGACCGTAGAGAAAAAAATTACATTGAATAGAAAATGCCAACTTGGCTCATCGCGCATAATTTATATGAGTACCTGTGTAGGAAATTTCGAAATGCCGCGTTGTTAATTGGCAGTAAAACAATTATCCGCAACAGTAACCCTGTTATAACGACACAGCCCCGAACGCAAGACACGCGGAGAGCTTGTCCAATTGTTATTCGCAAAACGTCTGTGATGTACCTACGTAGATTTCAAGACACAATTAAAATATTTTTTAATTCGCGCGCTGTTCGTTTACAATAAATTATTAAAAATAAAAATATCATTAACTGTAGAACGAGCCATCGCAGTGTCAAGCCAGGCGCCAAAGTGCTGTGAATTAAGTGCGCGCCGGGTAAAAAAAAATCATCGGAAATTCGGAACCTACCTGCCGGTACACGTTATTATAATATCTCGAATCTCGACAGTTACACCAAGACACACGGTTTTGATATGATAAATTTAACGTAAAAATGAAAAATGACTGACTGTCGAATTTGAATAAAAACGAAGGAATTCGACGGATACCTGCTATCATCGATAAAAAAAAAAAAAATAAAATGTCTAAATATCACTATAAGTTAACGTTTAGTGCTTCGAAAAAATCACCACACGCCCACACACGTCTATCGGAGCACGATCATCGTGGCATTTAAAAAACATGTTTTTTTGAATAATGGTATCGGAAAGAATAATAATGTTACTCGTCGCATGCGACCTGTTATCATAATATATTCTAACATTATACGATGGCAGCTGCAGTTTGATTTGACCGGTTTATTTTGTGTTGCGAATTTCACCGATTATTATTACCTATATTATTATTATATCGGTATTTGGTACTATAGGTTATATAATATTAAATTGGCCTGCGCTGAGCCTCGGTGTTTTTTTATAGTAACCATAGACTTACGTTGTTTTCGATGAGAAATAAACATTAGTCCACCCAAACTCGATGTAAACAAATTTAAATATTGATTTTCGTGTTTCCTGATTGCGCGATAATGTGTGATACCCACGATTTATAATGGTATTGAAATAGTATAAGTTTTTTTCAAATATTTCAATTTTTAACTCCAATTTTAAATTCTCATTTAACATTCAAACTTACTGTGAGTTCAGATGAATTTTAAAGCTCGAGTGGATCGAACCCTATATATGTATGTACTAATGTGATGACGGAATTACCGAATACGATGTAATAAGCCAGTCTTGAGAATTTGTCTTCTGTGATCATATTTGTGGGTATAAAGGTTGGGCCATCGAGTTTTTACATAAGACTTAAACACAGGAAATCCAAAAATCAAAGTGATCCAAGCTAAGAGATAAAATTACATAATGTCATATTAATTAACACGGTTTTGAATTCTGAGAGGGATTTATCGTAATTCATGATGTGTTTTTTTATTTTTTTTATGTCTTTTTTTTAAGCAGTTTTTGACAATATTGATTTCATTTTGTTGTTGAAATGAATAATTCTATAGAAGCTTAAATTTTTCAACAATCATATAATATTATGAATACTACTAGATGTAAACAATTTTCAAAAGATGTTGGTCCTTTTTGTGATGCTTATAGAAATTTGACATTTACGTAGGTATGTATGACGAGATTTTCGTTTGTAAATTTAAAGCTTGACAATTCTAAACAAGGTTTACCAAATTTTTTTACCATATAGAAAAAAAAATTATAATACATATTCAAATATTTGTTTTTACAAGCTTTTAAATTTCAAATATCAACGAAAATTATAAAAATTACAAACATTTGTTAATTTTTTTAGAGTTAAAAATGCAAATATTTTTTAATTTGAACTCCTGCATTAGGTTTGATAATTGACTATAACATTACAGATCCACTTTTTTACAATTACTTAAAATTTTAAAAAACACACCTATGATTAATTTTTTCTTAGAAATGTAAAGTTCTATTTTTGAGAATAAATCACAAATTTTGTTTTTAGATGTATTCAAAAAAATATTATTTGTAAGGACTCGAAACTTTCACCATTGTATAACATATTTTTATTATTATACACAGTGAAATGTTCAAAATATTAGATAAACTAATGAAACTTTTCATATTAATCTCCAGTCTTTAAGTTAATAATAATTAATATTTATTATAAAATATGTGCGATTTGTTTTTGGAAAAGTTTGTAGAACTTTAATTTTTATTTAATTTTATTATTTTTGAATAGACAAGTGTATGACTTAAAATAATATATAAATACATGATCAAATATCCTGAGAATAGTTAGAATGATTCATCATTAAATACACGTTTTACTCATCTATTACAGTGATCTAGTCAATGACGAAGTACTTATACTTAACGCCTATTGGTTACTGGGTATACAGCAGAGCGACTTCTACGGTTTTTTTTTCTCATGTACAACTTGACGCCGAAATACCAAAAGTGGTATTTTTCCATGCCGTTCCTTATAAATTACGAATGCGTTTATGAACATTATATCTAGAATACCCCAAAATAATCTGTGCCACCATTTTTTTGACTTCCGATCTACTCCATACGACGTGCGAAATTGATCTGCGTGATCTACACCACCCATAAAACGATTGTAGTCTTTGACAACTTGCAGACATGTGACATTATTTTTTTCCCCCAGTTTTGTTTTTACGTAAAACTGTTGTTACCTCAGATCCATGATAATTTGATGCAAAATGAACAGTTTTTGTGTCTTTCCACTTAAAGACGCTAATACCTAAATCAGATATGCGGTAGTCATAAGTTCCCCTTTTAGATTTTGTATCATCAGCCAATTTTGGTAGACCTTTACGATTTGGTCGAATAGTGCCATAAGCTAAACAACCTTCGAGTTTAAGTTTTTCTAAAAGAGAAATAGACGTAAAATAATTGTCAAAAATGAAGCATCTATTTTTATTCCACTCACTTTTAGACAGTTGCAGTACAATTCTTTCTCCAAGCCCAAAATGTTTGAATTCGTCAGACACTTGTTCATCTTTAACTTGGTATATTTTAAAATTTTTTATATAACCATTCTGATCAGACATACACCATATTTTATACCCACGCTTTATCGGCTTCATGGGGTTGTATTGTTTCATACTACTTCTTCCCTTAAAAACTATCATAGACTCGTCTATTGATAATTCCCTCGTGCCATAATATGATTTTGAAAACTTTTCAGTACAATAATCAATCAATGGATTAAGTTTAAAAAGTTTGTCTGTATTATTCGGAGGAATTAAAGTGTTGTCCTGGACATGTAAATTTGATAATATTAGATCAAACCTATTTCGTGGCATTGTATTAGAAATTAAACTAACACCAAGATCTGGACAAGTTGACCAATAGTTTTTCCAGCTAGGTAATTTATGATAACCCATAAAAAAATTAATTCCAATAAAATTCAACATTTCGTGTCGTTTTATGTTCAGTATTTTATCTCTTTGAGTACCATATAAATTTGTTTGAAAAACAAGATGATCGAGAAAGCCGTCTAAAAGTTCAAGAAAAACCGATGTAGCCGTTTCACAATGAAAAAGTTCATCTACTGGTCCAGTTGGAAAGTAATAATTTGGTATATCAGTTTTTTTATTTTTTTTAGACCATTTTCGATTAGGTTCATAATATGATTCTTCAGTTTCGTCAGCATTTGTCGTTATTGAGGAAGTTATAGAGTCTGAACTTATATTTTTATTTTTTTTTTTCTCTGTAATAAGTTTTTTTAAATTTTTTTTACTGGGGGCAAAGAGTTAGTAGATGGGCCTGGAACCGGAGTCACAGGTACATTTATAACGACTGGCTCTTGAGTTTCTACAGTGGGTAAATATGATTGTACGTCAGTATCCAAAACTACTAAATAGTAGTCGAAGGGATTATTTTCCATCGATTCGGCAACTTCATCAACATAGAGTAAACTAAAATCATTACCTAATTCGCAATCAATATTTTCATCATCCGAGATCTCTTCATCTGTTAGCATGTTATTATCCAATGGAAATTCTTCATTCAGCCAGTTATGTATTTTTTCGTCTTCATTAATATTAGTCATTTTTGTACAACAATATAAATGATCAAATATTCAAATTATAAAATAATAATTTATCAAAACGACAAACACACGACGCAAGCGAGTACGCGACAACAAACGCTACAAACACGAAAACACGACGCGTCAAACGCGACGACACTTGCTGACCGACGGTACGCACAAGTCCAATTGATTATAATCGCATTATAAACATGAAATCTATATAAAAACATTTTAACCAAGTAATATAATTAATCTACACACACATGCCAACATAATTGCCGTTTTATAATTTCAATACAATGATTATTGAGAAATATAAACGATAATATTGTACGAGCAATCTCCCGATACCGATTTCAAGAAAATCCCATCCAAAAATAGTCGTTACGTAGTTATTAAATAGAATTATATCTTACTTTTTTTTTTCGATAGATATAGTGGTACTGTAGAGTACCGACGGGAAATAACGTACAAATTGTTTCATATTGATTTTATATATATTTTAAAAGTGACGGTACTTATACGTACCGTCGGTCGACAAAGGGTTAAAACTTCATCCTCCTTGCTTTTAAATTTGAAAAGTCAGTTATAATTTTGTCTAAAGATAACTCTTTAGTACGCTGTTGTTCAATATTTAAAACTGCAATATTTGATAGTCGGTCCTGTCCCATTGAGTTCCTTAAATAATTTTTTATTATTTTCAGTTTAGAGAATGATCTCTCGGCAGTAGCAACCGTGACTGGCAAAGTCAAAAAAATAATACAAGCGCCTAAAACTTCTGAATAGCTACAGGATAAATCATTTTCTAAAATAAATAGTGCTAAATCACGAATAGACCTCAATTTTTTATTTATTATTATTTCTTTGAGAGACAGAATTTGATATGTTAACTCGGAACCAACATCCGACTTGTAATTTTGAACAAAATCATAACAACTTTTGATTGTTTCAGTTTCTTCAGATTTAATAATTGATTCCGGCTTTAAAAATTTGAATGTATCACAAACATCTTGAAAACTTTCAAATCTTGATTTAAGTTGCACCAATATAGTATCAATAAGGGGAAAAAATATTTTTATTTTAAAATTATTTTCTGTGATATTTAACCGTCTGTCGCCATCCACTTCATCAAAAAATTTTTTCGCAAGTCGTTGTCTAGTTTGTGAACTATTTAATGGTATGTCCCATTTTATACATAAGTCTTTTGCATATTTTACAATATTAATGTAGTCATTTCTAAGATTTTGTATTGATGAAAATGATTCAGCTAATCTATCACGTGCATTATGAAGATCCATATTACGTTGTTGTAAAAGTTTTGAAACCCCATGCAATGGCCGTAATACTCTTTCCCACAAACAAAGCATTAACACAAATTGAAAATGCTCCATTTTTTTTTTCAATGAATTAGCCATATTTCTTTCACCTAGCTTGTCACTTGTTAAAATAATGCCAGTTAATGATTTAAGAACATCTATATATCTTTCTTTAAGTGCTGATACTGATTCATATCTTGCTTCCCAACGTGTAGGGCAAACTTTTTTTAATACTTTTTGCCTAATTTTTTTAGCAAAATCTTCCTTAAGGGCTAAATTAGCCCACCTTGGAGCACTAGTGCTAAAAAAATTGTAAATTGATTGAACAATTAAGAAAAAATTGTTTGCGATTTCTGTTGATGCTGCTGCATCACAAATAACTAAATTTAAATTGTGGGCACAGCAGTGAATGAATGGTGCATTTGATACATTAGATGAAATTCTTTGTTGTACCCCTGAATATATGCCACTCATAACGGCCGCACCATCATAACCTTGACCCCGGCAATTTTGTATATCTATGTTAAATGACTGTAAAACTTTATATATAAGATTTTCATGATCAGCTGCTCCATGTTTTTTTAACTCAAAAAAACCAAAAAAGGATTCTTTTACCTCAATTGATTTTTGGTCATAATTTACAACAACGTACCTCAAAATAATGCTTAGTTGATCAATTTTTGTAATGTCCTGTGTGGAATCAACTATAATTGAATAAAACTTAGAAGTTTTCACTTCATTTGCTAGAATATTCAGAACTTCAGTAGATAACAATTGAATAATTTCATTTTGTATTTGCCAGCTTAGATATTTTATTTTATATTTGTCTTCATTTAACAACTGGTGTAGAACTGGATCAAAATCTGCTAGTAATTTAACTGTCCTTATAAAATTTCCTTCAGATAGATTTTCTTTTTTATTACTACCTTCATTACCTCTAAGAGCAGTGTTGCCTGCAGTTAAAAATAAAATAATTTTAATAAGACGGGTTAATACATTTTTCCAAAACAATGCTTCTTCATTTATCTGAATTTCCAGTTGACTGTCTATTGTTCTGTTTTTCAACCATAGACAGCGAGTGTCGACAGCTTGTATGTGTTGTCTTGATGTTTCATGAACATTAATTTTATCACCTATATGGTGCCAGTCATTAATACCTAAAATCCAATTATTTTTGAAACTTTTTTCAAGTCTGTTTGAAAATAACCAACAAGTTTCACAATATACCCGATCTAAAATTATAGAATAGCATAACCACAATCTAGGAATGCGAATTCCAGACTTAACTGTTTTGAAATAAAAGTGTGGTGTAAATTTCCGATTGTAACCACTACCATCTGGAGTAAATGGAAATTCAAATGTGGTAGGTCTACATGGTCCATACAAAATAATACTTCTTTTTAAATTAGAACTAATTAGCATACTTTCATCAAAATGACCACGATCAGTTGGAAATTCTTTTGTTAAATCCAACCCTGAGGATTATAAAAAAAAACACTCATAGTATCACTTTCTATTGTTTTATCAAACAAATAACTTTGTAAATACCTACTACTCAAGTTTAATATATTTTTTTGAATAATTTAATATTTTTAATACCTGATTTTTCATTACAATTATCAATGTCATTATTCATCAAGCCACTCATACTCAAACTTTTACTAACAACACTGTGTGCAGCATTATTACTACTATAAGTTTTGTCATTTACTTCCACATCATCTATTAAAATATATATTTATTTACTTAAACATCAATGTAAATTGTAAGATTCATGAATAAATAAATCATAATTATCCTACTTAATTATCTTACAGTTAAATATTTAGATATTTTTTAA